GTGTGAGTGGAACACATGTTTGGTGACCGGACAGTCCTTCAATCCAATCGACTTCCCATCTGCAAAGGGCATTCCCCTGGGCCTCCCCAAGCAGTGCATTGGGTAATTCTCAATGCCAAAAAAAAAACAAAAAAATGACCTGAGAGAATTGGACCGGCGGCGGCAGCAGCAGCAGCAGTGGTAGTGCTTCACCCCACTTTCGCATCGTCTTCCCCCTTTTGCTTCCAAGCCAAGGCACATAGATGCCCCAAAGCCCGGCAGTGGTGTGCCACCTGGAACATGAGGAAATGAAACATGCCCCATCAACAGAACCTTTGGAGTGTCTTTCTGTCTCCAAAATCCGCCCTCGATCCGCCGGTTCTGGCAGACGTGGAGGGGGATCCAGGCGATGTCAACAGAACACGAGTCCGGGATGAATCGATGTTCTCCCGCATCCACGTTCGAGCCACCCCAAAAAGACCTACAACTGGGGACCCCCCGGGGTCGTTCGCTGCGGGAACCGACCAGCACCTAGAGACGGACAGCCGGTCCGGTCCGACTGGGCACCCCAAGCCAATGATCCTTCTTGTACTCTCTGAGACCTGGCCGTGTGAAGCTGAACATGACTAAAAACGCAGACGAATTACCTAATTGTGTAGCTGAACGGATAGGAAGGGATAGGAAAAAACGACCGGAACGGCGACTTCTCCGCGACGACGACTTCATTGGCATCGACGAAGCCTTCGCGTCCTCCGTTTCGACCCAGTGGTCCGCCCTCTTCGGTCAGAACTGCCCGGTGCGATGGTACGAATCGGACTCCGCTCATCCGGTTTCAACATAAAGGCTTAACACCTGTTTCCAATCTGTTCCTGTTGAGTGGGGAAACCCATGTCCCCAAAAAAGGGGCTGGACTGGCGCTCGACTTGTCCGGACTGGCGCTCACCCTCCCTTCGACCTCCTTTTTCTCCAGGTCTGGCGCCAAAGCATCTGATGCGAAGATCCATCTCTGTCGCCCGGCTCCAGCCCAGCTGAGCGCAGAAAGGGTGACTGGAGACGCAACTGGCCGTGCGCGTTTCGTGCGCGACTGGACCTTCAAAATTCCTGGAGGGACCAAAACACTGGGGTTGATGATCGCGATGCTGCCGAACCACTCTAACCTGCTAAACCTGATGGTGAACGAAAAAAGATTCAGAACAGGTCGCTGATGATGCAATGACCTGAACACCATCTAACATCTAACTGAGTTGGCTTCAAAACACTAGATCGTGGACCCTTTCTGTGGTTCTTGGAGTGTACTCCTCAAAGGCTCCCCACACTTTTTCCTACCAGCACCTTTCAAACGGCAACCATTGTTGAATAATCCAAAGTCAGACTTGCAACCTCATTCCTCAGGTCGGCAATACACTCGTACATATGACACACTTTCATATTGCCTGTCGAAAGGCAAAAAATCTGCTTAACCTGCAAGGTTGGCAAAAGGAACCCCCCCCGTTTACTTACCAACGAATATTGTTCAACTATGGCCGCGAGATTTTGACCCACAACTAAAATCTCTCCCGGATACACGAGAACGGCCATCCTGGAGGTTGCTGCGAAGCTGAACGCTTTCTTTGCTTCGCGATCATGAAAACCCCGGAAACGCTCGTCAAAACGAAACGCGAAAACCCTTGGAATCTCATTGAAACCATCGGGATCGTCTCGGTCGACAGACCAACCCATCTTACTGGTCTGAAAGATTACTTTCTGTACCAATCCCAATGAAATTCCTGGATCACCCTGGGTGGAAGGCCTTCCTCACAAACATGAATGAAACCTGATGTGTTGGTTGGTTTTGCTCCACCAAGTAACGGAATATATATAATGGAATTTGGTGATTGCTCTCCAACAAGTCGTGCCCAAACTTTCGGAAAAGGGACATGTTCGATCTCCCATAGGCCCTCTACAAATCAAAATGACACTATCGGCGTGACCATGCATGACCAAATAGGATCAATAAGAGCCGGGACCCATAAATCAGAAGGTGAGTCATCTGTCTCTCAGGCCCCCAAAGTTTCTGGAACATGTTTCTGCTTGAAACCACCCAAGAGATTGCTTGGAGACCGAGATGGCCCATGACAAATCTGCTGATGAGCCTCTGTGCCAGTGGAGGTAGTGACACCAGTGGCCGCATTGACAGCAATCAATCAGCTCGAATTCAAGTGTCCACACCAGGCATCAAGAGAGCGTACTGCTCATCTTTGGCAAATCGCGACGCTTGCTCAGCGTGTGAGACGTTCGCGACCGGACCACGAGGCCTTCAAAATTCCTGGAGGGACCAAGGCAGGGGCTGATGATCACGATGCGGCCGATCATGCTCAACAACCACTGAAACTTACAGTACTGAATCTGATGGTGAACGAAAATAGATTAAGAACGGGTTGCTGATGATGCAATGGCCTGAACACCATCTAACATCTAACTGAGTTGGCATTAAAATACTACACCGTTTGGAAAATTGTTGGCGCAACTCAAAAAACAAAATAGCGGAAACAGCCGCACCATGTGTTGTTTCTCGCTATTTGGCCGTCATAGATGGCGCAACTGGTCTTTGGAGGGCAGAAAGTTAAAATTATGCGGGACGTTTGTGTGGTTGCTGGTTTTCCCAATTTAAAAAAAGAAACGTTTGGGGCCCATAGATGGCCCAATGGCCAAGTTCTGTACATTTCTGATTCCTTTTGCTTTCCTTTTGAATCCTATTCATGTCCCCCTTTGATTCCTTTTATCTTCCTTTTGATTTCCTTTTATATCCTTGCGATGTCCTTTTGATTTCCTTTTGAATCCTATTGATGTCCTTTTGATTCCTTTTGATTTCCTCTTACGGAGGCCCAAAAGATGGCGCGGTCCCAATCTCCACAATTTTCTACAAAATAGGGCGCGTAATCATGGAGAACCTTCCTGTTTTTTAGCCACGGGGCGCATAGATGGCGCAACACACCTGAATGTGCCTGATACCTAAACCTGGCGCAATTTAAAAAGTTAAGTCACCTCATCAATTTTATCATCGGAGTAGATCGTGGACCCTTTCTGTGGTTCTTGGAGTGTACTCCTCAAAGGCTCCCCACACTTTTTTCCTACCAGCACCTTTCAAACGGCAACCATTGTTGAATAATCCAAAGTCAGACTTGCAACCTCATTCCTCAGGTCGGCAATACACTCGTACATATGACACACTTTCATATTGCCTGTCGAAAGACAAAAAATCTGCTTAACCTGCAAGATTGGCAGAATGAACCCCCCAGAATGTTTCCTTACCAACGAATATGTTTTGAAGTATGGAGGTTAGATTTTGACCCACAACTGAAATCTCTCCCGGACACACGAGAACGGCCATCCTGGAGGTTGCTGCGAAGCTCTCCAACAAATCGTGCCTAAACTTTCGGAAAAGGGACATGTTCGATCTCCCATACGCCCTCTAAAAATCAAAATGACACAATTGCGTGACCATGCGTGAACAAATAGGATCAATAAGAGCCGGGACCCATAAATCAGAAGGTGAGTCATCTGTCTCTCAGGCCCCCAAAGTTTCTGGAAAAATGTGTCTTCGTGAAACCACCCAAGAGATTGCTTGGAGACCGAGATGGCCCATGACAAATCTGCTGATGAGCCTCTGTGCCAGTGGAGGTAGTGACACCAGTGGCCGCATTGACAGCAATCAATCAGCTCGAATTCAAGTGTCCACACCAGGCATCAAGAGAGCGCACTGCTCATCTTTGGCAAATCGCGACGCGTGCTCAGCGTGTGAGACGTTCGCGACCGGACCACGAGGCCTTCAAAATTCCTGGAGGGACCAAGACAGGGGCTGATGATCACGATGCGGCCGATCACGCTGAACTACGACTAAAGCTTACTAAATCTGATGGTGATGGAAAAAAGGATCCGCTGGCCTGCCGGCGTCCCTTGTGGATGTTCTTGTATTGTATTCTTGCTTGCTATTGTCTATTGGAGTCTATTGCTTACGTTGTCCGTTGACCTTAGATTGCTCCTCCGCACGACATTTTGCTTCATCTAACTTGACCCCCCCTTCCCGCCCAGAGCTCTTGCCGGTTTCTTGGTTAGGGTTTTGTGATGACTTGAGCCAAGCTTACATGGTAGGTGCGCTGGACCTCGCACCGCATGTCGTGGTTGCTCATCTGCTTCTTGGCTTTGTCTTGACCTTTCCACGTGTTCATCCATTATCATTAGGCATGCTGGTAGCCTACCCCTTGGGATTTCTGTGCCAAATACACATGTCTCAGCGCCCACGCCAGCGACGGTTGAATAAAGAACAGGTTCCTGATGGTGCGATGACCTGAACACCATCCAACATCTAACTGAGTTGGCTTCAAAACACTAGATCGTGGATCCTTTCTGTGGTTCTTAGAGTGTACTCCTCAATGACTTGCAACCTCATTCCTCAGGTCAGCAATACACTCGTACATATGACTCACACTTTCATATTGCCTGTCGAAAGACAAAAAATCTGCTTAACCTGCAAGATTGGCAGAATGAACCCCCCCAGAATGTTTCCTTACCAACGAATATGTTTTGAAGTATGGAGGTTAGATTTTGACCCACAACTGAAATCTCTCCCGGACACACGAGAACGGCCATCCTGGAGGTTGCTGCGAAGCTGAACGCTTTCTTTGCTTCGTGATCATGAAAAACCCCGGAAACGCTCGTCCAAACGAAACGCGAAAACGCTTGGAATCTCATTGAAACCACCGGGAGCGTCTCGGTCGACGGACCAACCCATCTTACTGGTCTGAGAGATTACTTTCTGTACCAATCCCAATGAAATTCCTGGATCACCCTGGGTGGAAGGCCCTCCTCACAAACATGAATGAAACCTGATGTGTTGGTTGGTTTTGCTCCACCAAGTAACGGAATATACAGTATACAATGGAATTTGGTGATTGCTCTCCAACAAGTCGTGCCCAAACTTTCGGAAAAGGGACATGTTCGATCTCCCATAGGCCCTCTACAAATCAAAATGACACTATTGGCGTGACCATGCGTGACCAAATAGGATCAATAAGAGCCGGGACGCGCCCAGAACGTGAGTCATCTGTCTCTCAGGCCCCAAAGTTTCTGGAACATGTTTCTGCTTGAAACCACCCAAGAGATTGCTTGGAGACCGAGATGGCCCGTGACAAATCTGCAGCTGATGAGCCTCTGTGCCAGTGGAGGTAGTGACACCAGTGGCCGCATTGACAGCAATCAATCAGAACGAATTCAAGTGTCCACATCAGGCATCAAGAGAGCGTACTGCTCATCTTTGCCGCAGAGACCTGAATCGTCGGAAAAGATTCCGCGCATCTCTCCCACAAAAGGCGACGGGTCCTCCACAGACCTCTCAGAAGCTCGTTTTCAGCGCCGCAATCGGGCCTTGGTGGCTGTCAACCTTTGCAAGTCATCTAAGTGGTGAGGCCGAAACCCAGTCGTCTATATAAGTTGGACGAATGACTCATGACTCTGACTGTTGATTTATAAAGAAAGTCCCCACATGAAAGCCATATGATGTGTTTTGTTCATCTAGTAGGAGGGGGGGTGATTCATAGCAGTCCCAGTCTTCGTCTTCGTCTTCGTCTTCTTCTTCTTCTTCTTCTTCTTCTTCTTCTTCTTCTTCTTCTTCTTCTTCTTCTTCTTCTTCAGTCACGGGTTCTCCGATCATCGATCAACCCCTTCCGCCGCGCCTCGTCGCTCCGCCCCATCTTCCTTCGCCTGTCCGTCGCGAGGAAAGGTACCAACACGATGGCCACTATGGGTGGTCGGTCTGATTGAGCCCGTAGACCAACGGGCCGAACCGGACGGCCTTGGTACGTCTTGGGTCTGATTTCCGAACCTTCCTAGGGGTCGAACTGGGGCGGCTCCCTATTTTAAACCACGGCCATACGGCAATATGGACAACGGGTGCCTCTTAATAGGTCAGCAATCCCGTCCTCAAGCCTCAAGCAGCAAAAAAGAAAGGCCACCCCCCACCTCGTGAGCAAGCCAACTGCACATGCACATGCGCAACTGCGCAGCCTGCGCAGCCAGCCAACCAGCTCCAAATCTGCTCGTGCTGAAGCGCAGCTTCAGCGCGCCCCGCGCCGGAAGCGGTCGCTTCCAGGCTCGCTGCTGGGTGGCAGAACTGCCGGCGGCTCCCATCTTCCGACCATCGGTGCTGAACAAGAGCCCCCACCCAAGCGGGCGGGAGGGGCGCCCGTTTGGGCGCCCGGCCGCCTTCCAATCTGTGCGCTCTTGGAACCAGCAGCTCCGGAAAAATCACGAGGTCTTGTCCAGAGCTCAATTGAAGAAGTTTGAAACAAGGTCAGCAGCTAGCAAGACACAGGTCAGAAGTCTCGCCCATGCTCAAGTTACAGGTTTTGATCATGGACTCACCCACTGCCCACAGGTAACTACAAGTAGATACAAGATGATACAAGTAGGATGATATCCTGAAGAATTCTGGATGCCTCCTTACCACCCAAACCCCACGGAATCCAGTGCTGCTCCCTTTTTCAGCTTCCAGTTTCCCAGTTTTTCCCGCCACACAGGCGCAAGTTCTCCCGCATCCTTTCTGGATTTGATTTGGGAAGACAATCCCACAACTGACCCATCTAAGTTCCCTCCTCCCACTTCATTCACCTTCACCAGATCCGCTCAGCTCGTCCACCGCTGGCCTCAGGCCGCCTCTACCCCAGCCCTCCGGCCGCAGCGCGTGCATGAGCGGCACGAAGCGTTCCAGGTCGCGGAAGGCGGACGAGCGGAGGGCGGAGCGGAGTCCAGGATGGCTCTCCAACAGCGGCTGGTCTTCATAAGAGTAGACCCTCGACATCTCAAAGCCAAACCACTCGTGCTTCGCGGAGGGACTCCAAGGAGACTTGAAGAAGTCAGCCGCATGCCTCAAGAGCTGTTGCAGCTCTGGCCCAATGAGCACGATGCTGAAGAAACCCTCGTTCTCTGAGATCTCGTCTGCCCAAGCCAAGATCAAGGCAACTTTCCTGTCCTCCAAAAGTAGCAGCGCCGCCAGATTGAAGAACTCATCCTGCCGACGACTGTAGCCTTGGAAATGGGATGCCAATGGGACCTCTTGGTAGCTTCTTGCTACGTTCGTAGCGATGCCCTTTGTTGCGTTCGTAGCTTCTTGTTACTAGTACCTAGTAATGCAGTAATGCCAGGAGCTACTAGTAGCTTCTTGCTTGTAGATTTCTCTCTATAGATACTGATCTGACGAACACCGGTTGTAGGTGATCAGGACTCTGCAGTTGGTGCGCAGTTGGTGTGCACAATTTGAGCATGTCACACAGGAATGCCAACGGTCAACAATCAATGCTGTGTGTGAACAATCCAATCAATACGACGAGACCCAATGCAAACCACTTCGTGCCGACTGAACAGCACGCAATCCGGTGAGCCCCGCTCGGGCAAGGGGCGCTTCAAGACGCTCCATGGCCCGCTGCAAAGGGCTCCAAGTTGAACATGGCGGGTAAAACATGGTGAAACTATATAAACCCATGGTCATTGGTTCTCGAACTATGCTTACTCATGTTTTCAACCTGGTCACCATAGGTCGCATCGAGGGCAATCACTGCCAGCGGCACCTTCGAGATCTCGCCCTCGGCACCCGGCAGCCGCTGCAGAAAGGTCGAGCCACGCATGCATGGCCGCGTGCAGCTCGGCGCAGCGGTCAGCTGTCGCCACAAGAACGGCAGGAAGCGCCGGAGGGCATGTCCCGTGAAACTCCATGAGACTGGCTCCAGCCAAGTGCCAGCGGCTTCATCGTAGGGTCGATGTTGAAAGGAAATCAGCTGACTCAAAGAGGCCTCCTCAAGGCTGGCGCCTTGGCGGCTCCCGCTCGCGCCGCGACCAGCGGTCAGCAAGGCTTGATGGATTTGGATCCAATCCTTCAGGCAGGTTCCATGAGTGCTCACTGGTCCCAGCAAAGGAAGCCGAAGGGCTGCAAAGCTCAGAATCGGCCCGTAAGGCCTGGGCCGACGGGCAACGTCGCAAAATCAAGTGTCAAGGGAGGCGTATTCCCAAGAGAAGGATTTCGATTGGCTCGGACAAACTTTCGAGGAATTCGCGGGGCCAGTCCCAATCCCTGATGAACAACTGGGTGTCAACTTATCACTCAATTCCAACCTTCCCAAACCCCTCCAAGACCCCCCAAGACGCGGCCTCAACACCTCGTGCAGCGCTTGCCGCGAGGCCCGGGAAAGCTGGACCAGCTCTTTGATCGAAAGCGAGTCTTCGACCACCTGCAGCAGGAAGACCTGTGGCAAGTCTTCGGCGTGGGTCTGCAAGCTGCGCAGGGGCACCGGAGGCAGGTTGGGTGGCAGGTGACGTGAACGAAGAACCAAGATTGCATACCAGGAGTCACATGTCGGCGTTGTTTTTGGTCCGCAAGTGAGTGGATAACGGGCACCCCTATCCTCCAATAGGCACCCTTTTGTGACTCCTGGTATATGACATATGACAGTTCCTCCAGCAAAGTCTGCAGAACGGCCGGGCGAGGAGACGGGCACTCTGCCCTGCCTGTCGGGGCACTTCAAAGAGTGCGAAAGGCTTGGCAGAATTCTTCATGGCATGGCCCACATGGCTTCATGCCCGGACTGCGTGCTGGGTTCTGGCTTCCGGACCGGGCATGGCCAGTATGGCTTCACATCGAACGGCGGCGGCCCACGGCACCGGGTTCGTGGAATGGTTCGGGGTACGGCCCCCACACCGTAACCATGTGAAGGATCCAAGGACCAGTCTTGACCTGGGCAGGATGATTTTTTGGTTGGCGGAGAGTTTCCTCGCTCGATTTGCTCAAGAGCCCGTGAGACAGTCTTACCGTTTTGGGATGCAATATGTCTTGAAGCCATTGTGAGGGGACACGTCTCATCATGGATGTTGGGAGGGTTGCAAGTCCTCGACCGATTATCTTTTCTTGGAAGGGTTTTGCGGGTCAACTTTTGCTGCTTGGCCTTCCGGGCTTCGGTTATGGCAGCTGCTCTGAACCACAAAGCTCCGCCACAACACGCGGACCACTCCACTTGATTCATTCGTCTCTCGGCGTGAGAATTTCCCCATGAAAACACAGGCACAAAGCCGGTCGCCAAGAGAGGCATCCTTGCTCCTAGTAGCGATACAGTCGCCAAGAGTTACCACGTGAAAATGAGCCCTTCTCCATCGAAACCGCCCTCTCCACACGCCCACCCCTCACGCCGAAAGCGGCCCCAAACAGCCGAAAGCGGCAGTTCCAGAGATTCACGATGGACTTCTGCGGCTCTTTGACCTTGGCCGACTCAAAGCAACCCGTTCCAGGAGCTGCCTGTCAGTTTTGGGGACTCTGGAGGCTCCCCGTGAGCTCTCCTGCCACAGTCCAAAGTGAAAGCTCACAAGTGAGCTCGGGGGGTGGTTTGAGTGGATGCGCCAAAACCAGGACCGTTCGAAGCACACCTTGCCAGGCACACCAATTGGAGGAGCCAAGGACCAAATACATCTCTAACAAGTGCGTTCCAAGTTCAACAGCTCCTCCAGAGCCGATTCAAGGCCCTCCGAGCGAGGAGGGAATAAATCTGAAAGACTATCTCTCGCAACCACTTCCCTAGAAGTCCAAAGACTAGTATTTTTGACCGGCTGGAGTAAAGGAAGTTCCCTTTCAGTTCACCTACTCAGTCAGACCATTCTTTTTATAGTCTGACCGACTCGCAGGGACTTTGTAAGGGAGATTGTAAACACCACAGTCTTCACATCATCCAGCCCCGTCGATTCTCCGCTGACGTCGATTTTCACACCGTGCCGCCGTGCCGCACGAGGTGTCCGTCCACACTCACCGCGGACGTGCAGTCGGACCTACAAAAGGTGTCCGAAAAAAAAAAGATTTTGTCAGAGCCTGATTCGCCCCCGGCCAGTGCTACCCAGTGGATATGGGTCCAAAGAACGCCATCGTCCAAAAACTTGATATGTCATCGCTTGCATGTCCATCGTTCAGGCCAACAATCCTTCCAAGTCCATCATACTGATCCAAGGACTTAGTAAGTCCTTGAGGCTACCAAGTCCTTTCAAGGCAGTGGTGCAACGGGTGCTGTCGGAGTGTACCCAGACAAACACATCACATGGAAGTGGAAAAAATAGATCCTTGGAAGGACTGCTTTCCTTTAGGGACAGGACAGGGGAGTTTCCACTTCCACTTCAATCAGTCTCCAACTACCTCCGTTTCGAAGATGGTTGGGGTGGGTGGCAGGGGGTCTGGGCCCACCGAACCTGAGGATATGGGCCAGGAGCCCTAGGGCCCTAGGGAATATGGAACTCCACTTCAATCAGTTCCGATTCTCAGAACAGTTCCCCCTTTGCAACACACGTGTCACCGGTGCACATGTCACCTTTCTGCACCGTCGTCCTGCGTTCACGTTCGGAGACCTGAGGACCAAAAGAAACCGAAGAGGTACGGATCCAGAGTAGCTTGAAGTTAAGTGAAGTTAAGTCATACATCGAAATATGTTATAGATTGAAGTTATCATTTATATTCATTATAGATCTGCATAGACTCAAAAGGCTCGTGTGTCTGATCAAGCCTCCACTTCTTTCACAAGAGTCTGAGGGTCTCCATCGAATCAGCTGCCCTAAGACCTAAGCGCGATCGCGTGTTTCACGCGTCCATGTCATCGGTAGGCAGTGCTTCCAAACTCAGTCGCAGACAGCTGCAGCAAGACGCATGAAGGATCCCAAGACCCAACCAGCAACTGTCAGCCTACCGAGACCCAACTCGCGCAGAAAACATCCATGCCGTATGGTTCATGTCAAGTGACGCAGGGCCCGAAAGCCACCCCAAAAATGAGGACTGTCTCTGTGACTGTGGAGCCACTGTGGAGGCACTTGCCCGATGACAGGGAGTGCAGGACTTGCCAAGCACACAGCTTTATGTGTTGCTGCCACAAACAGTGGCTGTTGGTCGCTGAAAACTGCACACTGCATGGCCGGGGCCAGCTGTGCCGGCCACTCGGGGTCAGCTGTGCCGGTGCCTCAAGAAGTAGATCGATTCGGTGTGAGCAACAACAACAACAACAACAAGGTACAAGGTACAAACAAAAACTGCAACCCCGTTGCACCACATCTTCTTTCGTAGAAACAAATTCTGCAACCCCGTCGTTGTTTTTTGACCCCCCCCCAAAACAACCGGACAACAAGCACTTTACTGCTACTACTACTAGTGGTACTAGTGCTACTACTACTAGTGGTAGACACCCCACCCCGGGACGTGTGGACAGTGCGCGGGGCGTGTGCGGAGGCGGAGGGGGTGGAAACCCGGTTCTCAATCTATGCACTGAAAATCAGTCTTTTCTTGGAGACTCCTGGAAGTTTTTGGACTGCAATGGAACAGGGTCTATGAAACTCCTCTGAGGGTCATGCTACTGGTGATGCTTATTGTAACTGGTTAAGTAAACCCTGTAAAGCTTCTACTTAGAACCTCTACCACATCCTAGAAACAGGAGCTGCAACCCCGTGGTTGTTTTTTGGACCCCCCCCCTTCCAAAAGATGTTGTTGTCTCTACCCCCCCCTAGAAACAAAATCTGCAACCCCGTTGTTGTTTTTTGACCCCCCCCAAAACAACACAACAAAAAACAAGAAGCAGACCAACCAAGACTTGAGTACCACAATGACAACAAGTCCAGCTACTAACATCTCTCCAAACCTTCGACCCTATCCCTAACAGAATCCCATTGACATCCCTGACTTGCAACATGTGACAACTATGTTGGGCGGCTGCTTTTGTCTCTACCAACAACAACAACAACAACAAGGACCATAAGGACAAACAAAATCTCAGGCGGTCAGACCAATTAAATCCAACTGTTGGGAGATGTGTCCAACTGGGCTCAGATGGCCGAAACCGTCCTTCATATCTGGTCCAGACTGCCGTATCGTATCTCTTGGTCAGCCTGGATGTCTCCATGACTTCACGGTCCAGTTCGCAGCACGAGAGTTGCCAAACGAAGAAAGCACATCCAAGACTTCACGGCCTATGGAAACGGTATGCTGCTGGCCCCGAAGCGGAGATCATTAACGGAGTTGCTTGGGTGTTTCAAGGCCCAAAACGAGGCGGTTTTTCCCTCGCAGCTCAGGAAACTGCTCGGAGTGCAGGAGATGTCAATCTCAAAGACCATTAAGCAAAAGGCGGCTGAAACCATAAGAATGTGTGGAATCCATTCTTGCACGATGAGCTTGGTCCTGGCTTCTTCTACTGGCTTCTTCTACTTCCCCCGTTCCTGCGGCAACCTCTTTGCTTGATAAAGACCCTGGTGGAAGGGTCTTTCAACAAGCACTCATCATGATACTTTCTCTGTGTGAAACCCATTGGAAGCTGTCCTGCGAATCGGGTTCCACGCTCGGATTCTTCTAGAGTGTGCTTGCACCACAGAACTGGAACCCCCTAGACCTGTGTGTCACCGATGTCACCAGTGTGACACCTGTTCTGTTGCCCCAACACCCTCCACAAAGAAAGCCAGAGCCACTGTTCGAAACATTCCGGACTTCTTTCGGACTTCATTTCAGAACATCTCCCAGCTGCGATCACTTGGTCACCGGCTTCGTACGTCAGACCCGCCCCGGAGAACCTCCCGCGACTCCCGCATGGCTTCGCTGACGGGCGACGTCGCAGCGCGGACTGTTTGGTCTGCAACCTGTCCAGGGCTTCCCTTCCGGCACCTGAAAACCATGGCACCTGAAAAACAGTCCGAAAGGTCGAAAGGAAAAGGAACCACTCATGTTTTGAAGCGAATCCTCAACCGTATCGTAGGTCAAGAATATAGGACGTTCCCAAATAGACAGAAACCGGATTCCAATACATTCTTAGTGGGTACTGTTCTATCTATTTGGGGGTCTATATACTGGCATATACTGGCTAATTGGTAAACCAAATCTCTTTTTGGACGACCCACCAGACTCCTCGTTGGTCGCCCGCCGACGCAGGTTGCACCGACGCCCCCGACCCCGCTCAAGCCCCCATCTTCACCTGCGTCGAGAAGCAGAAGGATGCAACGTGAGCTGGTCGATGTCTTTTGCCACCATGTAAACTGTCAATGTGTTGATGTATCAAACATGATAAGACATGATAAGACCAGCTAGACCAACCCCGGCAGGCCTGCTTGGCAGGATGGTTTTGGGTGTTCCAATCCATGTCTGAAAAGTATTCATCGCGAGTCCTACAGTCCGACCATGATTGATCTGACCATCGACCGGGGACGTCGTCAGACCGGCGCCTCGGTTGGAGGCCATCGCTATGCTCGGTTGGAGGCCACTACTACTAGTTACTAGTAACAAGAAGCTAACTAGTAAGATGTATCAAGACTCTCTTCCAGGAAGACATGGAGTTGGGTGGTTAAGACTCTCGTCCCATCCAGTGAATCGGCACCCCGACTTCCTCCGTTCGTTCGGCACCCCGTCTTGTGATTCCTGGTACCCTTAGAATGAATAGAATCCAGACTTTGACACACCCATCGCAGACCAAGAAGACCCCGTTCACGCCGTGCATCCCTCTCATTTGCACATGTTGGCACCTAAAAACGTGACTAAAGACCATTTAAGGCCCATCCGCTCATCCAAGCACGTGCCCCTCTTTGTCTTCCACCCTCCCCTCCCGCGCCACCCCCGCAATCCCACTCCCCGTTGGCGGCCTTGGATTCGAAGAGGCGCATCAGCGTCTCGTAGGTGCCTGGGGCCGCAGGTGACCCGCGTGCGGGACGTGGTTCCAGTGAGTGAATTCACTGCAAAAGCGGCTGCAGTCGTTGGGGTTTCGCGGCAGAAATGGTGCTTTGTGGTGCGTGGTACGTGAAAAGGTTCACCTCCTAGT